CTGTATCATTCACTGCAGCCACCTGCAAAGTCTCCTCTCCATCTAGGATTGCTGAAATGGGTAGGACTTGGGTTTTGGGTATGTACTGTCGCAGCCAATCTAATGAAATTATTGAGACTTGTGCTCCTGTGTCCCACAAGACTTCAACATGCGTATCATCCAGCACCAACGATACAAGGCATTGTTTTCCAATAAGTTTTATCATTCGCGTCCTCGTCTTGGGGTTTATTGTAGGTGTTGTCGAGTTGAGGGTAGGTCGGGACTTTGATGGATCGGAGGTTACTGGTTGTCCCTCCCAAGTAACCCTACCCCGTTTCCCTGCCTCCTCATGTTGCATCCCCTGGCATAATGTTCAGAGCTTCCACACCGGAAACAGTGGCGGCAGCTCTCTCCTTGTCCTTGTTGCTGGCATGCCTCGCAGCCCCTCTCTCTCCTGCCAGATCTTGGTCCTCTCGGTTGAGCCATCAGGGCACTGAGCTCGGCCTTCACAATCTGTTGGATGCTGTTCGTCAGCTCTTTCAAGTTCAGTGCCTCTGTCTTACTCGTTTGCTTAGAGGTGGTCTCAGGCTTTGCCGGTTCTGCGATGGCAGCAGCAACTCGGGCTTGGCGAGGTTTCAGCTTTTGTTGACGCTCACTCTCATGTGCAACTGCAGTGGTCAACACCTCCAGAAGCTCCTCATCCGATACATCTTGCTGCAGAGTTGACCTGAGCTCATGCTGGATAACAGCATCCTGGAGACCGGTGGAGATTGCTCTCCACGCCATCTTGTGGACCTGCGTACTCCCATAGCAGATTGCTGCCCCCTTTTCCTCTGACGCGAACAGTACCTTTTGTTTCAAGTCCAGGGTGCGGAGCACGAAGTCATGTGGCGATTCCTTTGGAACCTGCACAGCCGAGGATAACTCCTGGAAGAGTGCAGTAGCGTCCCTCTCCCTAAAATGGGATCGCAGGAGGCGACGCAACAGTGGCAAGTCCAAATCACCTCGTCCCTCCAAATAGCTCCGGAGCGAGAGCCCTGGATTCACAGCACGCACCACTGCTTCGGTGATCTCCTCAGCTGGAAATCCTTTTTTTAAGCCACTGTTGATCTGTCTTGCGAGGGAAACGAAAGAGAGTTTGTCCTTCTGGCTAGGCTCGCCAATCTGCCCCTGTATCCTAAACTCCTTTCTCCACGTGACTGGAGTATTTGGCAGCTGGTTTGTCATCTTGAGGATGGGGGATCTCTGTGACGTGTCGTCTGCCTCTTCAGCTGGCTGGTCTGACTTTGGCTGGGTGGGTGGTTCTCTTGGAAGCTTAGTGGTCCTGGCCTTTACCTCAACCACATTCTCATCTCCATCTCTGTCCCCCTTTCCCAGGATCTTGGCCAAACCCTGCAACACTGATTCGCCTCCGTCCTCTGAATCCTCCAGCTCATCCCCATCTAGGAAGCGTCTGATGACACGCTTCAGTCCTGCTCGCCCTTTCGACTTGGCCTTCCCCACGTCTTCCTCAGGTAGCTTGAGCTCCACTGCCGCCTTTAGTAGCTGCTCCTCCGTGCTCGCTGACAATCTTTGCAGCACATCGTCGATCAGCTCCTCAAATCCTGCCATCATAGATAGCTCCGGAATCGGCCTTCTTGTCAAGCTGTCTCTGGAATTGGGTAGGGCCTCGTCTAGGGCTGTTCGGAGATGTTGGAGTTGGGTGGAGTCGTTAGGGAGAACTCGTACACCATCTCAGCATCATCCGGGCAGTGCCTCCAAAATGTAGCCCGCCTCGACCCTTTAAATGAAGAGAAAAGACAGACACGTGTTATTTCTTGGTAAAAGTAACAGTAGAATTCCTTTTATTTAGACAAATAATCAAACGCATGAATGTATACAAAATAATAATATGAATATGTCGAGATTCAACATATATATCAAGATACTGTAACCCCGAGGTTATTCAGTCTCATATAATAAACTTAACATTGATAACACAATGTATTAACGAGTTCCTATTTAACTAATATCTACAAATTAAACTATTAATACAGTTTCATTATCGAATTAAATAAACACTAACCTAGTAACATACCGATAATGATATAATACCCTCTAACTCTAAAGGTATTATGAACTTCATTGTATACCTAGACAATATCATCAAAATGCCTATCTCTTATCCTCTCAGATTTATAGTAATATAATATAAACATAGACCTATGTTGTATCCTTCAAGCTAGCACACAGCACATGTATATTCTCAGGTGTAACTATCGTTTTAGGAAAACGAGCTTATCAATCATTACTGCTATCTGCATGATTCACCTATTAATGCACTATTATTATGCTTAGATTACCCAGGATATGACATAGAAACAGAGAAGAATAACCATGAACTATATACAAGACAAGAAATATAGACTAAAGAATATTGATTGTCTCTAAGAAATCTGATAACTTCCACTTATACAATGTACAGCGAAACATGTTGTATTAAGCCAATCGATATCCTAAACATCAATCTTTAAATATAAATACAATTATGGGATATTTATGTACAGGTTTATTCTATTGAAAACTACCAATTAACTATGTTAAGACAATCCCTTGTGCTAGGCAAATGCAAACTCTTCAGTGTTTCCAACTTCTACTCTGAGCTCTTAAGCAAACATGCCTCCTAACACTAATTCCCTTGTCCTAGCCCAATGGAGAGTGTAATAGCTTACAACACAGCGTGAACAAGAATACTGGGGAAGGGAGAAAGAGAGAGAGAGAGAGAGAGAGGAAGAGAGAGTGTGTTCCTCTACCAAGGGAGAGGGTTAACCTCTACACACAGAGTGAACAAAGAGAGATAAGGGAGGGATGGAAGAGGGGGAAGATCTACTACACATGGCATACAGTGTATGTATTATACTCTGTTGTTTCAACACTATGTATCTACACTTGATCATACACATTAACTCAATGGCACTGTTGCATAGTATATACACTATTCACCTAATTTGTAGTTAGAGCAAGTTCCGAAAGATACATTGTAAATCTGGAAAGTACCATTGATGATATATGATTTACCTTTTCTTTATCAACTCTAAACACACTCTTATTCTATCTACATGCTCTAATACTAAATGGAGGATAAACTTCCATAAGAATGTATAACAGGTCTGTACTTCATTCTATGAGAACCTTACAGACATAAACATTCAAAGTTTATGATTTGACATACTATTCTTTGCATCAGAAAGTTCAACCCCACCATGGAACTACATAATGTTCAATTAATTATACTCTTCCAATGTACTTCTTTTCTGACATGGAAATCACAGTCAATCAACATCACTCTTCAACAATTAATACTTCTTAGAACTCCTTTTACATCATATAGTCACACACATAATCAATAACTTTTAACTGGCATTAGTTGATTTTCAACATCCAATCACACTCAACAATGCAATGATTATAATAACTTGAAAGATGAACCAAGCTTACCTTTAAATGAAGAGAAAAGACAGACACGTGTTATTTCTTGGTAAAAGTAACAGTAGAATGCCCTTCTCACAAAGTGTGGTCAAACTCCTGCAGTATCTGGACTCTTCGATTATGTTACAGGGGTAACCATCATCATCAATAGAGGGACTGCCAGGTGTGCTAATTAAAGGCCTGCTTGTACCTTTGTGTACTTTGTGGGCCTGCCCACACCTGATCCTTTGTTTCTAAAGCAGATGCTTTTATGGGATTGTGTTTTCTCAAATGTGCGTTGGGGATTTGATTTAAGTTGAGTCAGCGCCTTATACATTATTGTCATATAATAGGCCTAATTATAATAATAATAGTTATCATTATTGTTATTATTCTAAAGAAAATTGATGCATGGTTATTGGTAGGGTGTAAAACGTACTAACTAATACACACTTTATGAGTCCCATAAGTACGACTCATCTTAATAACATAAAATGGATCGTATAATAACAGTGTGAAGCATGCATTTCACATAATAGGCCGTTTAATAATAGGCTGTATCAATAGAAAACACGATAAAAGTAATTATGGTAACGACGTCTTGTGGGAGTAATATTGTGGGTGTCATCTAGTATCGGATCCGTTGAAATTGATGCTAGATGAACATAAACAACGAGGCTCTCATTTACTCTGTACATAATATATAGATCTGGAAATGGGTGTGTCAATTTGTAATTGAATGTGGTGTTGATAGCCAGCACTAATGTGACATGTTCCATTGTGGTACGTGAAGTATATGGATGATGGATAGCTTTTGTAATGAAATGCTATGACGTACATTGTATAGGGTACGTATCATGGTACAAAAACAATAAAATACATTGTTTAATGACCCAATGTATTTCATTGTTTTGGTAGCATGATAACCATGGTTACCATGGTAGATGGTAATTTGGACAAAAAAAACATGGTTACCATGGTAATTTTTTGTTTCCGCGGGCCCCGATATACGCCTCAACTCCCTGGTAAGCCTATATCGTTTTCATTTCCCTGAAAAGACACTATATCTAGCGTACATGAGCATCAGTAATTACACGGTTTCATGTTGTACATGAAATGCATATCATGAAAGTAGGCTAAATGTATACTAGTTTCGCCGGAATAAAAAAAAAAGGAATAGAAATGTCTTATTGACGGTGTCAATTTAACGTTTGAAGAATTTAATGATAATGCTCAAGTTTTACAGAGAAAGAGGGGGAGGGAGAGAGAGGGGGACAGAGCTAGAAGAGAGAGAGAGAGAGAGAGAGAGAGAGAGAGAGAGATAAAGATGGGTAGAGACTAGAGAGTAAGAAAGAGACAGAAACACTGTGTTTTAAACACAAATACAGTATAAAAAAAACAACAAAGAAAAACAAAGTGTGTGTGCGTGGTATTTGCGTGTGCGCGTACATGAGAGAGAGAGAGAGAGAGAGGGGGGAGGGGGGCAATGTAATGATACAGAGAAATGAGAGAAACAACCGAACATTCAAGCATGGACCTACAACATTAAAGTAACATGAAATCCAATTACTTACCAGATAACTTTGTTCTCGATCATGGCGTTTTCATAATCATCCTTCAGTAGAGAGAGATATGCATTCATGCTCTATTGACCTCCTCACGGTGTGATATTATGTACCCTCTCAGTGTAGCGACCAAGCAGCACTGTGTGTCGCACACAGAGAATGCAGTCTCTATATAGCTAGTCTGTCAGCCGCTAGCTTCCATTTCTTATGCACCATCACATGCCAACAATGAGCTGTTTATTATGCGAGCAAGATAGACGCATGCATGACGCGCCGCGCACACAGCAGATACTGAGATAGTAGATAAAACGATATATCAATTTATAGGTCCCATGGTAACATGTTGTAACATAAAGCAGAGAGGATTAATTACGGAGAGTGTCGACTCGTACAAAGCACGCAAGCACGTTACCTGCTGAATCTACTTTACAAAATAACATTGACATCTGTAACAAAAAATATTTAAAACTATGGCAAAACAGATGGAATATTTATAATAGTTTTCTTAGTCAGGTAGGCCTATACTGCCTGCAGTAAATAATAATAATCAATGTAATTTGAACAGATTTGAAGAAAGTAAGTACAGATCTCTGCAGAATTGCAGATAGGACTTGTAGGACTTATTGAAACTGTAAACCACTTTTTCGGTCACCGAATGCCCGAAGTACGTACGTTACAGAAAGAGCAGAAACTACTTTATCACATCCACAGGAAATCTCAGAAATAGTGCAACAAAAAGCGATATAGTTCGCTTCGTTTTGTTAACGCTTAAATTCCGTTAAGACCATTTTGGATCATAGTTTATCTTTTCCAACCCATGCAAACTCCCCAAATAAGATTGTGAGTCGGCATTTCGAAGCTTTCACAGCTATATCTTTAATAATTTCCTACACCAAATTTGAATAAAAAAAAAACAATCTACATGTTTGTAAGTTGTTTTGTCCTGCACCAATAAAGCCCGCAATACTTGTTACTAACCTGACCACGTAATTCTAGCATATGCTAGCTGGGGTTGGCACTCCAGCTTGATATTTTGTAGCTACATAAATATTATTATATTGAACTACCTTGTCCAAATATTATCCACGCCCTACCTCCCCCTCCCCGTGAAAAACCTAACTGGCATCGCTTCCCCTCTCCCCGACCCCTTTCGTCCCCTTCTCTCACCCCCCCCCCACTTCCTATTGTGGAAGATTTTTTTTTCTCATCATTTTTCTCAACATTTTTTCTCCTCCGCACCGTCACAAGGGAAGGATTTTGCCCCGCCCATAGAGTTACATACTTTCGTTATGTAACTCTCTTCTGCCTTGTCCACTCCAAAAACAATAATTTGCAGAAAAACAAGAAAAACGGAGCAAACAAAATTTGAGTAAAATCGGTAACTAAGGAAGTTATGAATATTTTAAAAATTATTTCATTCCATTTCATTTCGTTTATTTCCATTTCCAACAAAATAAATAAAGTACATGGGATTGCATTGTACATAGTAAAATAATGAAACTTAAAGGTATTACAAAGTTTTGGGAAATTTTGAAAAATGGGTGGATAGTAATTCTTTACAATCTATATTTGGATGCCCCTGTCGATGTTTTAAAAACACCGGAAATTTGAGCCCCTAAAACACTTCTGCTTTCGAGAAAAATTGAATATAAAGATTTACCGGTGCTCCCGGTAAATTTTGATAAATTTCAAATAGCTCCTACGGCCGTACAATGGTAGCTGCGCCCATAAAAATCTCGGAGTATGTAGTTGTGGTATATAATTTCCGATCGAGAATAGCTAATCGGTCGATTTTAGTCTATAAACATTGTTTTATAGCTTAATTAATATCTTGACCTTGAGAGGGAGCTATTCAACATAAAGTGTTTATTATTTACAATTTTATAACTTTAGAGTCGATTTCGACCGCGACAACGATCACTGAATATTGTAGGATCGTCTATGCTTCCAATATGTTCATTTGAACCAAGTTCATGACCCCATACCAAAACTTTGTATTACCTTTAACAACATGGTCCACAGTGTACAATAGGCATACAAAACAGGTTGGTCATAGAGGGGACTGCTGAAAAGCTGGGCTTGTAAATTGCAGCCCCCTATAACTTATAGTTGCAAAAATAGTATATCAATATTAAAGGAACGCACAAATACATAAACCAATAAAACATAACATAGAAGGAGTGAAAGGGACAGGGAAAGAATTAGGGAGACAACGAGAGAGGGCAGGGCTCTTACCTATAACACACACAACACAACAAGGGCCGACTGGAATACGGATTACCAGTACAAAATGAATCAAAATATCCAAATGTATTTTATTGAGTTAAATCAATTTAAAGAGAGAGAGAGAGCTAACGCTTGATAATCACGCAAAAAATATTTTTTTAATTTGAATTTAAAAGAATTTAAACTGGGGGCATTCTTGATGCTAACATCAAGAATGGTCCATAGCTTCGGGCCTGCGTAAGTGAATATGGATTTAGCAAGTAAATGGCAGATGAAATTCGTCAGATTGGCGCGTAGGGCATTTGTGTATAGTTTTATTTTTGATGAATATTAAATTGAAGGCTGATGGTAGCGTATTATTATTTAACTGGTACATAAACTGACCGAGGCTATAACGATATAAATCATTTATTTTCAACACATTATTTTCAACAAATAAAACGTCAGTATGGGATCTCCAAGAAGTGTTACAAATAACACGCATAGCTTTTTTTTGAAGAAGTAGTATTCTATGAAGATAAGAATCGTATGTATTACCCCAAACAATAATACCATAATTTAAGTAGGGCAAACTTAATGTCGAGTAAAGCATTAGTAGGGAGGAGGTTGGCAGAAAAAACTTAACCTTATTTACAATCCCTATATGTTGCGAGAGATTGTTCGGCAAATGCTATCAATATGACATTTCCATGAGAGTTTATCGTCTATTATCAGACCTAAAAATTTCATTGAAGTGACGGCTTCTATGTCAGTATTATCTAGTTTAACATTATGTGGTAAGTTACCTATAGAATTGCTGAAGAGCATACATTTTGTTTTTTGTAAATTTAATGATAACTTATTAGCTCTTATCCATTGTAACAATTTGTCTAATTCAATATTTAGTGTATTGACCAAAATATCAGGATCTGCATGTGAGAAGAGCACATTCGAATCATCTGCAAAAATAAGAGGAAGGAAAGGATATTAGAGGAATTTCGGATATCGTTAATATAGGTAATAAATAAAAGTGGGCCCAGTAGACTGCCCTGTGGAACACCACAATCTACATCTTGCATAGAAGAACATTGGTCGTTAATACACACAAATTGCTTGCGGTTCGTTAGGTAGCCTCTGAACCACTCCAAGGCCCTACCACGAATTCCGTAATTGTTCAATTTGTAGAGAAGTATTTTATGATCGATGGTATCAAAGGCCTTGGAGAGGTCCAGGAAAACACCCACAGTATGCTTGTATTTTTCAATAGCTTCTGTAACTTTTTCGACAAGGGTAAGTAAAGCATGGGATGTACTATGTTTTTGGCGAAAGCCAAACTGAAAATGAGAAATTATGCTGTTTTTATTCAGAAAATTTAGAAGTCTTGTATATATTATTCTTTCCAGAATTTTTGAAAGAGCAGGCAGGAGAGAAATTGGTCTAAAATTACATATATTATCCCTTTCTCCTTTTTTGTAAACCGGTATAACCTTAGAAATCTTCATACAATCGGGAACAACACCGCTAGTCAAGGATAAATTGAATATATGCACCAGCGGATCGACAATGTAGTTTATGACGTTTTTCAATAAAATATTATCAATCAATTATGGAACAATGGTAATCACTATACACAAATTGCCAAGTCGGTTATCAGTTTGTGACGTCATTGCCTCACTATTTACCAATTGCTTTGTATATTTTTTTATTCCATTAATTTCCCCTTTTCTCCCCCAAAACTTGATTTCCCGATTCCCCTGCCCGGGTTATATGATTTGTTTCATATTGCGTGCATGACAATTCACAATTTTTTTTATAAACTTTGAAGAATTAGTATTCCGATTTCTTATTAGTTATCCGATTTTCCTCAAACTTTATTTTCATTGGTTTCTCTTATGTTTCTGCTTCTATTGGAAGTAAGTTATTTTTGGAGTGGACGTGCCCTTAGTTTTAAAGGCGCATATCGATCATTCCAGGGCTTCTCAAATTCAGGACCACGCGACATGTCAATCCAGACATTCGGCCGGGGAGGCTTTGGCGGGGGGGGGGGGGGGGGCATCTACCCACCCTCATATAAATCCCATTTTACTGCTTATTCCAAAGGGGTAGCATAATCATTCTGAAAAGACTTCGCTTTCAGGACAACGATTCCACATTTCGTGGTTGTGACTCATTTACTAAAATGATTCACAGCCCTAAAAAATATGCCTTACATGTAAAAAAAAAAGGGGCATTCTTTTTGCATACAATTTTTTTAATGACTATATTTCGTTTGATGCCAGCGTTTTTAAAAATAAAATAAGCTTTCAAATCTTTAATTGGCCAGGCGCGGATCCAGGATTTCTTAGGGGAGGGGGGGGGGGGGGGCAAATTTGAAGCTTTGACATTTCAATAAAATATTAGAGAAAGAAGACGATTCGTTGTACCGTTCCCCAAAATAATCCTCGTTTGAATTATGTTTCCCCCTTTTTACTTTTCATTAAATTATTAGAATCGTTGTGTCGTTGTCGTTAGCGAATCTTAATCGTCGTCTAAATTCCGCGTAAAGCGCGGAAGCTTCGACGTGTCATTAAATTATTATAGAAAGAAGACGATTCGTTGTACCGTTCTCGAAAATTATCCTCGTCTGAATTCAGTTCTTCCTCCCCTCCCCCGCGCGGAAGCTTCGACGTTTCATTAGTTCATTAGAGAAAGAAGACGATTCTTATTACCATTCTCGACTCTCAATCCCTGTCTGAATTCAGTTCGACCCCCCCCCGCCTGCGCGAAGCGCGGAAGCTTTGACGTTTTATCAAATTATTAGAGAAAGAAGACGATTCGTTGTACCGTTTATGACTCTTAATCCTTCTCTGAATTTCAAAAATGTTCTTTATCTATTCCCTTTTCTCCCTACGTCCTTTTCCTTTTCACTCCTCTCTTTTATAGGCCGGCGTTTTTTTGGGGACCACCCCATCGCCCCACTGGCTATACGCGCCTGCGGTCAGATGAACATTATGTTAATACCTTGTCCGCCCTCGGAAGCTCAAGGGCTTAGGCACTCAATTATGGTCAGATAAGTATCAAGGGCCCCGCCTTAGGGCTCTTGGTTGGG